CCACGGCTTCGCCCTTTGGAGGCGTTGACTTTTTGATTGCCAGCTCGGGTAGGATCACTTTGATCAGCTCCAAGTTGTTCGACGCAGCATGAGATTCGGGGAGAGTGGTCATGTACGTGACATGCAATGCCTGCGAGCATGTCTCAGGAGCCGCAACAGGCGCTGGATTGTTCGGTGCAGGACATGAGCCGGCATAAGTGCGGATCTGCAGTAGCGAGCCGTTTGCAGGGAGAAGCGTGATTGTGATGTAAAGGAGCTTCGGCCGGCTCCAGTGCTTCACCCTTCGGAGGCATGTTGCACTGGAGACTTCAGGGAAAGGATTTTCTGTGCGCGGCCTGCCACGCAAGGAGCCTCTACGGGCTCAAGCTTGTCCGGAGCCTTCGGTAGCAGCTGGGCTCTTAGCATGGTGTCAACTGGTGGTAAGATGGGTTTTAGATGCAGACGACAGGTGGCGCGCCTTCTGGTTCAGGCCTGTTCGGTTCAGGAGCTGCTTGGGGATGTTGTCCTCACCTAAGTCCTAAGTCCCGAGTTCACAAGAGCATGTCAGCCATGTCAGCCACGGTGGCAGGAGGCTCCTCGGGCTCTGCAGCTTCGCCCTTTGCGGGCGGTCGGGCACTTGGAGGGCCCTCATGCTTCTGAGTGTGTGGAGTCAAAGTGCAACGATGAAAGTTTCAGCTTCATAGCTGCCATCATGCCAGTAGTCTGAGCAACTACTCACAGCGTCCACTCGAGTGCCCTTTGCCATGCCCTGATAAGAAGGTCCCGTATCTCCGCTGATAGGGACGCGTAATCCCACCTCCACGTCAACGCACATACAACGCAGCCCTGATAAAATATCTATATTCCTACGAAGTCTGCACACTTCGGATACTCCACTCCACACCATCACCCTCCTCCCTTATGTTGTAGGGGTGCCTCTGACAGCCGTTGCGCTGAGCTGATCCAAGGCGCTTGCGGCTCCGGACTCTTTGCCTCGAGCGCTTTCCTTACCTCCCTGACAGATTTGAGTTGGGTTTCCCCAAAAATGGGGGTACCCCTTTTGGGGGTCCATATAACAAGGATTATACTATCTGTATTGGGTAAGGAGTTCCTCCCCCCTCCCTCTCCTCCTCTTTTGGCTCCTACTCTACCCAATCTACCCATATCACCACCCCATCCGAATCAGCTGACATCTCAACCAAGGCGCCTCCTCGGCCTCAGATGCACTGGGGGCCGCTGGAAGCAGCAGGGAGCTCGGATAGAGAGCTAACTTTGATAGCCAGCAGAACAAGGCAGCATTGAGGAATGATCCAATCAAAAAGGAATGATCCAATCAATTCTTTCCGCGAATTCCGGGCATGCAAGCGTCAGCAGCAGTGTTGGTTCAAGCCCAGCCGCGAACCGGCGTGCCAAAGCCGCCGCAGACTCAGTTGCCTGTCATGTCTGAGACTTTGCCGAGAGAGTGCCTTGAGATCTTTTTCTGAGGCCCAGTGGCCCTCCGCCTGAGATGTGCGGAGCTTGGATCATGCAAGATGAAGCAGATGAAAATTGTTCGCAGATTTTGGCTTGATGTTGCCCTATCATCGCATCAGTGCTGAAACCCCGTGGCAGGTCTCGCGAGCAGGATCGGCTGGTGTTGCTCTCCGGGTAACAGCTGGTGTTGCTTGAAGCCTTCACGCCTCCAGGACTTCTCGGATCCCTGACTTCGTAAGGCACAGTTGTCTTCAAGGTGAGAAGTGCGGCCTAGGTTGTCCCATGTGTGTGTGGCATATGTGGCAAGGTTTGGCTTTATCACATGCCCGGAGCTGGCTTCCAGATTCAAGCGTGACGTCTACATTTCGCAAGCCGTGTGGTTCTTGGCCTCACAGACGCAGACTGCAGACAGATTGAAGCCTCTTGCCAGTAAGGAGTACAAAGACTGGGCGATCGACACGCCAGTCAGCTTCAGTCTGGTGGTCACCGAACAGCGTCATGGCCTCACCCACCATCGATGATCAGCTGGCTCAGTGACATGTCGTGACGCAGGCAAGCCCCAGGCACGAGATGTCCGCGAGGAACCCGAATCCGACGGCTCGGCCCCGTCGTCCTTGCCTTGCGAGGTTTGTTTGCCAGCCAAATGCAGCAGCTTTTGATTTTAGAGTGAGGCCAGCGAGCACTGGCAGCTGCAGCCTGAGTTGCGCGCCTTTTCTTCTGCAAAATTCCTCTCTCTGGCTTGGTTGTCTGCAGGCGCTTCTCCAGATCTGCGGTGCCAGAATGGCACGCAAGACGCAGCCGAGGAGGGCTTGAAGGACCGTCTCGAGTCCTGGCCTCCTCGGCTGCAGAGAGACGGACCGGGGGTGCATCCCTTGGTATCCCTTTTGTTTGGTTGGAGCCCTCCATCTAAATCCACAGCAATCACTACAATGAACAACGCGGCAGATGCTGCCGATTCTCGGTTCGCGAACCCCCCCCCCCAAAAGGTATCACCCCCCTCCACCCCCATATGCTTCAAAAGTGTCAACCGTCACGGGGATGGGGCCCAGGCCCTTTGGGGTCGCCACCCTCATGGCTGTCGTCGTTTTTGACGCCTCAAAGCCGCCATCCTCCCAACTGTCATCACTTTGAGCCCCTCGTGCCTTCGTCCTTCGTCGCGCCTCAAAAATACCAACAATCATTTTATCAGAGTGGTCCTCATCGCAATCCTCGCAACTGTCATCGCTTTTGACAACTCATATTGTTGTCTCAGTTTTCAAGCAGTCACAGTCACAAGGATCAGCTTGGTCCTCATCTTGCATACAGCTTCTACAACCCTGTGCAAACCTTCTTGAAACAGTTCAATCCTGTGTGAGAGCCTAGAAGATGGGTCACGTTCCCAAAGCACCTTGGGGGGGGACCAGCGGGGGGGAGGGGAAGCAACGCGTCTGGATAATATATCTCTTCTCCTGTTTGATGAAGGGAAAGTTCAAATGGAAGTACCGCAGGGCCTAAATTCACAGATGCTACACAACAGTGGAGCGCTGAGGCCAACCCCCGTCTCGAGGACTTCCAGCCAATCCAGCACAACGCTGGCGAGCCAGAGGGGGCGAGTTCGGTCCACTAGCTGGGCCGATATCGTCGACGAGGAGGACGAGGACCTTTTGGGGCACTTGGCAGGTGGGAGGCCATGCACCTGCCTTCCTGCCTTACTACGTACAGTTGATGACTTTGTTGGCCGTGACGCAGGAGTCCGAGACCGCCCCGCGCGACTGCACGAGCCTGATCCAGGCCTTTGTGCAACGTGCAGGGCGGGGCATGGAGTGAATGCTGGATGCAAAGCTGCCAGGAGTACAACGTGGATCCTGACCTCCAGGGCTTTCACAGGTTGTACACCCTGGAGACGGCCATCGCGCGTCAGCATGGCGAGTCCATGCAGGTGCAGGTGCCAGCTGGACAAGCTCCGATCACAGAAGTCCCTACAGACACATACCTGGAGCAGCAGGGCAGCAGGCCGGAGCACGCGGGAGCTTGATGGAACTGTCGAGCTCTCCGGTCTTCTTGGCGCACGGGTGTGTGCCAGGTTTTTGACACTGCCCTTGACCTACCGGACTAGGGGAGGCCTGGACCTCGTCAACTTGTCGTCTGTGTGCGGCATCTGCTCTTGTGTGCTCTCTAGGAGAGTGATCGCGCCTTCAGACCTCTCACTGAGTGCAACCGAGGTGAAGATGTGGTTGACAAAACTCCCGATGCCTGGGAGGTCCACACATGTGTCTTGCATGGGTGCAGCCCGACAGATCTTGGATTGTAAAATGTCTGCGCCATGAGGGGCAGGGCATTGAGGACTTTGGATTCCCATGCATCGAGGTTCGCTGGCAACACCCAGTTGTGAGTGGGCCGCTGGATGTTGAGCCAGGAGCCGCCAGCAGAACTCCCGCCAGAGCACCATCCGGTGCCTAAGCGAGCGATGCACGTCAGCTTTGCTCGAGCCTCAACGTTGGATGATGTGATGTTGAAGTCATCGGGCTCTTCGCTGCGGTGCTGCCGGCTTTTATCTCTTTGCAAGGTGCAGGCCACCATGGCAAGGCCCAACAGCTGCCTGCTTTTGGGAAGCCCCGCCAACCTTGAGAGTCTTGGCTTGAAGCGAATCTGCCGGGAGGGTCAAGCAGCCGTGGCTGAAAAGCAGCGCGAGGCTTTTGAGGCCTGCGCTTAGATGCATGTTCAACTGTTCTGGTGGCAATTTTTCACTTGGCTTGGCAGGAGCGGAAGAACCTCCTGGGCTTGCCTCCCCTGGACGAAGCGCCATCGCAACCAGCATGGCCATCAAAGGTTGTTCAGCCTCGCAACTTGCAGCCCTGGTCAGGGGCCCAAGCCCAGGGCATGCAGGTGTCAGCAGCAGTGCTGGTTCAAGCCCAGCCGCAAACCTTAACCGGTGTGCCAAAGCCGCCGCAGACTCAGTTGCATGTCATGTCTGAGACTTTGCCGAGAGGGTGCCTTGACATCTTTTTCTGAGGCCCAGTGGCCCTCCGCCTGCCAACCTGCAAGAGCCGCCGGGGCCTCCAACTGAGCCGCAGAGCGGCCTGCACGGCCTGTGCGGCCTATCTGCTGAAGCTCCAGCCTTCCAGCCTGGCCATGCGTGGCAGCCCACCCGTCCTGTCCTGTACCAAGCCAGCCATGTGGAGCAGGACTACCACCCGGCACGTGCCCAGATGGGCCCAGGCACCAGCCGCGTGTCGGTGAATCCCCTCCAGCCCATTCCACAGGGTCCTTTGCACGGAGGCCCCGCACCTGCCCAATGGAGACAGTATGAGGAACGTCCAGCTCCACACCACCACCAAGAGACTGGGCGTTGGGAGGAAAGGTGGGGACGGCAGGATTGGCAGCAGGAGTGGCAGGGGGAGTGGTATGGGCAGGAGTGGCAGGGAGAGTGGTGGCGGGAGGACTGGAGGGGCCAGAAGCAGGGCAGCAAAGGTGGATGGAGCTCCTGGCAGGCCCTTGAGCAAAGTGCACAAGCTTTGTGCAGCGAGCATGTCACGCTGAATGCGCAGCAAGTTGCCAGACGTTGCCAGGAGAGAGGAAAGCAGACGTGCAAAAATTGGGGCGGTAAGGGCACAAAAGCGCAGCAAAAGTGGGGGCCATAGCCGTAGCCCACATCAATGTGCCAATCTGTTAGCTTCATCTCTATCATGACGGCTCGTTCTGAGGCCACCTCTGCGCCGACGCAACTTTAACGATGAGGCAGTACCAGAAAAGCAGGGCCAGCATGCAGCTCTGGCAGCGTGGTGGCTGAAGCAGGTGACAAGATCCTCTACGAGGTCCGGTTCCTCAAATTCACCGCCAAGGGGACAGGCGCGCTGCAGTAACAGGTCGTTGTCACCCCGAGAGCCCCTTCTAGCATCCTCTGGCACCGGCAAGGAGAAGGGCGGCATGGGTAAAGGACCCGCTGCATTAAGTCTGTTCATTCTGTTCCAGTGTAGCCAGATGCGTGCGAGCGTCGTAGGACAGGGAAAAGCGGCCAGGGCAGCACTTCGTCAATTGATTGAGCAGCAGAAGCAGCATGAGGCCCCATCAGCATGCTGATTGGCACTCAATCCGTTGGGCAGATGTTGCAGGCAGACCACACGAACCAGGTGCGGCAGCGTCGTGAGGCACGTGGCCCGCTGGGCGCTGGCTGAGTTAGGCGGATGGATCTATCACGTCAGGGTCGCGGCTCTGTTCGGCGGTGAGCCAACGAGGTGAAGAATGCTGTCAACTGACTGCCTTGCTTGTTTTCTCCTGCCTTCGCTGCTTCGGCAGCCAACACCCCAGACATGTCCCGAACAGAGAAGCCACTGCGAAGGCAGTCGTTGAAAAAGCTTGCACAGCGCAGCTGACAACGCTGCTGCAAGATTGTTTTCAAGTTTCCAGAGCCTTTGCCCAAGAGGACTGCAGGGCCTCATATAAGGCTCTCAGGCACTTGAGCAGGCTTTTGCTAGCCTTCAATACGTCCGAGACGGACATGAATTTAAATGCATCCGCAGATCGATTACAGCACAGATTGATTATGAAGAGGCCTCCGAAAGCGCACGGTTGGAAAGGATTCGTTGAAGAGAGCAGCTCCAGTCAAGGTGAGTTGTGATACTGGTCGCTGTTCATGTTTGGATAGTCTTCCAGCTACAAAGCAGCACAGCACTTGCACTAGCAACGCTGTTTTTGTGCGGGAAGTTTGCATACATGACGCGAAGGGACGTAGTGGGGAGACGAACGGAGACGACTCGCAACGTGTTAGATTCTGTTAGATGCAGACGGCTCTTGCATAGAAGGTTGAGAGGTGTCGGCTTTCTCCTCATTTATTGATGATAAGGCTGTGGGAGCTCAAAATTGCCAGGCATATCGGGAGTATATTGGGGTTATATACGGATTATACACTAAAGACATAAGCTATCGGCTGCATGATGGTAGTTTCCTGAAATAGGGGGATCCCATGGGATCCCCATATAGGCCCCAAAGTATTACAATCCTTAATATAGGGATCCCCAAAAAGGTACCCTTATTTCTAGGAAGCTCACGGGTCTTCTCGTTCAGGTGCCCCTGCCGGCGGTGGGCTTTCGGGACTGTTTGGCGGCTGGCCCAGTGAAGGTTAGGGTTCAGGGTTTAGGGTCTAGGGACAAGCCATACGGAATTAAGATGTGGATCAGCCGCATGGCGTTTACTGAGAATGGCATAGGGCGTGGATGTTCTAATTAGTTGGTAGACGGCTGACCTGCCGCCTCTATTTTTTTGCGCGTTACGAAAACGCAAAAACAATGTAAAATATTTTGTTTTTGGGTTATAAGGCTTATTTGGGAGGTCATGGAATTCCCCTAGGGCCAGTAGGCCTATTGTTGCAGGCCTTGTTGCTGCTTCATATGTCATTTCCAAAAAGCAGAACCCTGACAAGAGTTGTCTGTGCTTTCTCTGCTGATGCTTGTTCTGCGGCAGCTTGTGCTGCTGATGCCTGTAAGGGACTTCGTTAAGTTACATACACGAGCTGTTCCCTGACAAGAGTTGTCTGTTGCAGTCTCTGCTGCTGCTTCTTCTGCGGCGGCGTGTGCTGCTGATGCATGTAAGGGGCTTCTTGCAGCTAGGTAGAACATAGAAACATGAACGTTGTTTTTCTTGGCCAGCATGGATGCTCTCAATCATGGATGCATTTGGAACCTTAGCGTTATTATCTTGGCCAGCATGGATGCTCTCGATCAAGGATGCGCTAGGAGCATGAAGGTATTTTTCTTGGCCAGCATGGATGCTCTCGATCATGGATGCACTAGGAGCATGAAGGTATTTTTCTTGGCCAGCATGGATGCTCTTGATCATGGATGCACTAGGAGCATGAGCGTTATTATCTTGGCCAGCATGGATGCTCTCAATCATGGATGCACTAGGAGCATGAAGGTATTTTTCTTGGCCAGCATGGATGCTCCCAAGATCATGCATGCACTAGGAACGTGAAATTATTATCTTGGCCAGCATGATTGCTCTTGATCATGGATGCACTAGGAACATGAACGTTATTATCTTGGCCAGCATGGATACTCTTGATCAAGGATGCACCAGGAACATTAACGTTATTATCTTGGCCAGCATGGATGCTCTCGATCAAGGATGCACAAGGAGCATGAAGGTATTTTTC